GCTCATCTGGACCAGAAATTGTTGTTCATGTTTTCAGCATGTCCCCACATTGCACATCACTCGCTTGGTTCGCTGATCCTATGGCATCTGTTGTGATAAAACTGATTTTGCAAGACATTCCAGTAGCTATCACTCCGAAACAATTATTTTAACTGTAGGAAGCCATTTTTAACAAGCAGAATGCCAGGACACTTTGTCATCCATAATTAATTGTCTTAACTTTGCACCTTTGTATAGTTGACATGACCGCAACTTGACATTGATGACAGTGGCAACGATAACTTCATGCTCGCTCGTAATTATTATATTAATTAATAAACTTAGCGACAAAAGTTGCATGTTTTCACTGCTGTTTTTTTTCTGCGCCCATTGTCAATTCTGGAACAACATTCTACGAAATCTGTTGTCACCAACCACATATAAATTTCCAGCAATATCACATTTTTCGCTGTAGGTTTAAAATTATCAGTTCGATTAGCGAAGTATCATCTCGCTGCCAGAATCATTTACAGTAAGATACGCATCCCTTCCTCTGCACGTCAGCCTAGCATCTCCATATTTTTCTGAAGTTATTCTGTGATACACAGGTCAAGTCTTGATCTGAACAGTAAACATGCAATAATGCCCTCTATGTTTGCTCGTTTCTGATCTGCGAAATGTTCATGTATGTTCGGGGAAACATGCAAACGAGACCCCCTAGCTCTAATGTCCCAGTAGTTACGAGATTACACACCGTCGTCCACTACGGTGCACCATTTCCTAGATCCACACCACATATCTCTCAACTCAGTGAGAATTAACTTCTTTCCATTTCCGAACCCTTATTGACATATTGTTCCCACCGATGCCACCGCATCCTTTATACAGTACCAATATAAACCATGGGCGCAAATCATTTCAGATGAGGGAGAACATCCTCAGAAATCTTCAAATCTTTTTGCCTCCAATCTGGCTTTTTCCCTTCTAACCTTATTAAATCTCGTGTTCTCAACAATCTCACAACTTTTTCACTGTTTATTCATTTTCCATTTTTCACTGCATGCAAACGGTATAAAATGCAAAACATCTCGAAATTATTGAGCTTTCTAACATTTCTTCCTCGTCCCAATAGTATCGTTAACACTTAACAAGTGCTATCTCGCTTCATTTTACTCAGTAATTTTGATTGAAAATTAAAAATTTCAACCAAACAATTCTTGGGATTGTTTGCTTCATTTCTTCATTTCTAGAACAATGAATACTCAAGGATTTCCGCTACTAAAAATTTAGAAAACAAATATTCCCGAAGAGCGGGCAACATTGATTACCTCCCGGTGAAAACATTTAATGAAGTGTGAGTATTACTAGTAGTGGTAGGAAAATGCAACAATTTGTACAAGACAATGGTCGTAGCATTCAAGAAGTAACATATATAGATACAAGCATAACAAAACAAATAAAGGCTGAACAAATTCGATAAGTCAGGAGGAAGTGTGCGCAACACAATGTACCAAAATGAAAGTGAATCTTTCCATATATATATATATATATATATATATATATATAAAGAGGGAATAGAATTCTCTGTTGACATCAGTAGAGACAAGAAATTTAATAACTTCCCAACATGAGTGATCCTGCTGGTGGTGAGGAGGTGGTACAATACCCTGAACTTACACTTGAACAGCTTGATGATATTGATAGGTTTCCATGATAACTATTAGTGAGAGATCGGTATCCGGGAGAATGCTGTCGATTGCGGTCTCCCATGGATATCGATGACATTTTGGTACCAATAATTGTTGAACCACTCTGTGACGACATGTACATAAAAGTGCTCAAATGCGATTCACTTCCACCAGCACTTGCTATGGCGTAACGCAGAGCTGGATGTTGTTCTGCCTGTGTTACCAATTTTGCTGGTACACTGCCTAACTTATAGCGACCTGAATTCAACTCCGATATTGACAATGGAAGAGACGTGTCACCTTCGGACAACCAGGGATGACGCCATATATCCTCCAAATCACACCGTTCATTTGGGTCATATTTCAGACATTCCGTAATGAGATTTTTGCAACCTGAAGTTGAGCTTCTTGATGTATATCATTTTTTGTTGGATTACTTGGATATTATCAAAGAACTATTTTCAGAATGTACATCAAACAAACAAACATTTTGAAATATGTCGTCGCCAAACTAACGGTCCTCGATAAATAATGTCCTCGTCGCGATGGAATGGAATGTCCCCGCAAACCATATCATACAACAAAATCCCTAGTGACCACACAGTTGCCTTACCGCTATCATATTCGGAATGCAAGATCCATTCCGGCGGACTGTACACGCGTGTCCCTGTAAATGTAACTTTATAACATATAGATGTTATAAATTAAATAACAGCAATTTAATCGCTAAAATAAGTAGAAAAGTTACCTTCAAAATCAGTAGACTTTTCACCCTTTGTTTCATTAAATGCACCAGAACCAAAGTCCACCAATTTCAGGCGCCCAGTTTTCAAGTCCACAACCAGATTTTCGTCCTTAATGTCTCGATGGACAACATTCACATCTACACAAGCTTTCACAGTATCCACAACCTTCCAACAAAGTAAGTTTCATTCGTCGGAAAAAATTATGATAACTTACCAAATTCATATGAAAAACAATCGCTTATATATCAATCACCTGTTTGAAAAAATTCCGTGCAATTTTTTCATCCAGTGCCCCGTGTTCCGATATATAATCAAACAAGTCCTGGCATGGTGACGGCCGCTCCATTACGATCAGGAATCCATCTGATCGTTCAAACCAGTCGTACATTTGGATAACACCCAATATATTTCTACATTCCATTAGAAGGACTATCTCCACAGGCAGCTCCTCACCAGTGCTAGGACTCTACAACATGTAAAGTGTAATCAATCGGTAACTAATTGTTCCATACAAAAATGACAAACATAAAGTACGAACATATTATCCTTATGCATTAATAGAAATTGATGTAAAAGGGCACTCTACAAAATAAAAGCCTATACCTTTTTCCAGCCGATTACGTTGTCCTTTGACACGTACTTCACTGCCACTGGCAAACCATCAATTATACGAAACCCAGAATACACAGTTCCAAAGCCACCGCGTCCTAATTCAGATCCAAGCTTATACTGTTTCTTGAAACTTGCATAATCATGTCCTTAAAAAAATGATACTTTCAAATCAAAAAAAAAAGCACACAGCAGTACTAATTACACTAGTAAAAATCAGTTGAATGGAACTTATGAAAGATGTGCAAGCTGTTTCTAATAAAAGCTTGCTTCCTGAATCCTATTTATGAAACCTCTCACACCATACTCCAAACTTCATAACTGCATGCCAAAAATCCTAGCAAGCGAATGCAATTAGGCCAAACCTACAGATACACTCTTTCACGATCGTACTGTAATACATAAAATACATATATACACACATGCACATATACGCAAGTAGATTTCGAGATAGAGATAGTGTTGCAAAAAATTTAACATATAAATGTGAAGAGATTTATTTATATGCAGAAACATACCTTGTCTACTATTGAGGCAAGATGATGAAGATGGTGTGGTCGTTGGTCCACGACTCCCAAACCCTAATTTATGAGCGTTTCTCAACATTTCAGTTCAACGTGCGTGATTATTAAAATCTCGAATATGTTAAATTACAAATACCTCGCACTCCCAGAAATGTAACTATAAATTAATCTGAAAATGTCAACATCTCTATATTTTACTCTTCAATTACGAAACGTAAGAGACGTGATAGTGGTTCTCAGAGAAATGAAATTATCTGAAAATACGAAGAAATTAAGGAAATGGAACGCTCCCATAAGTTCAGGCTTCATGGCCCTTTCATTTTCAGTATGTGTTAGTGCAACTGCTGCTGCAGGAAAAACAGGAAAAAAAAGGATGAGGCAACTGCCACTGCTGTCACTGCCATTGCTGTTCTTCTGTGGAAACATAACAAGGCCTACTCTCCCTCTCTCTAGTTTGTCTTCGTGTTTCCACAGTGGGCGGGCGGGCGGGCGGTAGCGAGGGGGATATGGCGTCAGACGGTTGGTTGTCCATAGCCAAGCATAAAAACGAAAAGAAGCTACCTATAGGGGTTGATGCTCGAATCTGCCGCCTTATTTTTTCCTCCACCGGAAGTGTTATTATCGGGTGCAGACACTTTCCAGGATCTTTTCCAAATCCACTTCAAGTTCTGAGGGAATAGAGGGCTGATGGCATATATACCTTTTTGAATTCCTCATTATTAACACTTATTAATAAGCTAAGATGTGAGGAAGTTCAATTCATTAAGTAATTATAGGAGAAGAGAATGAGGAATGTTCAGAGATGAATATGTTAACACGCATACGCTTCGCTATTTCCTTTTCCTGGGTATATTCTGAGATATTAGTCCAGAAATGATCCGGAAATATCTCCGCCAAACAAGCTGCCACACCCATGTGTTGTGCGATGAAGTTGATCATTTCTAGATAGCAAAGAACATGAGCAAATAAATGAAAAAGTTGTAGCTTCCATCAAATATAATCACTCCCCGCCTTCCATCACTTTATTTTGCATAAGTGAACATTCCCTTAACAGTAAATTGGCCGCATATAAATCTAAAATAACGTGAAGACATGGTGGTTTAGGAATCCCTCAATGTTGGAGAAACTCTGCTGATGCCAGTGAGTAAAAGGAAGCATTTATGCCAGCGAGTAGAAGGAAGCATTTCGTAAAATATGGAAGTTTCCAGAACCTTCGCATATGATGATATAACGTCATTATTGTGAATATCCGTTGTGGAGTAATGATGAGCAATACAACATAATTTACGAATCATTCAAAAAGTTGTTGGGAAACTGTAAAAGAAGTGATAGAAAAGAACGAGTGAAGGCAACAGCGCCCGCTTCAAGGTAATTTCGGCCAAGCAAAAGGGTACAATTTGGAACAGAAAGAGGAGGCAAGGAACTCCTTGGGATGATGCACTCAGCAGCATTGACGTGACGTGCCATATATAACACGAAGCGGGGAGTTTATTGGTGCATACGAGCGAGAATAATAAAACTAGCACAAAATGGAGAAATAGGGATAACGAGCGAGTGTGGAAAATACCTGAACGGCCAAAGCACTATCCCAGTAAGCAACTCGCACAGACACTCCGTTCGCCACTCCGCCCTCATCCCCTCCTAATGTCTTCTCATCTGTCCGTATTCCCTTGTCATATTTCTTCACTCTATCCATCTCTTCTGACAGACAGACGGCCAGTCACACAGACATACACATTCCAGACATTGTCCAGTTCTCCCGCCCTGGCATAGAGCCAAATTCCCTACAATCGACGGTTGATGGGCTTTTACTTTGAAAACGAGCCCAATGGATGGATGGAACATGCGGAGTTAACGTGTACTTGAGTTTATGAGCAAAATCACGTGTTAAATACGTCCAGACATGGTCTCTATTTCGCGTGGCACTCCGCGCTGTCTGCTAAAAACAGTGCGTAGCACAGAAATGCTATTGTGTGTGGGATTGGAATGTAGCCAAAATGAAATAAGATGTATCCGACGGCGTTTGTTAGGCACGTGAATTATATGTGCTAGTGGTGCATTATCAAACCACCCTGTCACCGTCTCGATATTGTCTTCCTGTGGACCACCCTACACATATTTCTGATACCCTCGACGTGCATCTACCTTTCCCCTTTCATGCATATTGATGCAGTAGCATGTACTTCCTCTCACGTTGAACTCCCATATATACACTGAAAGTGCTGCGTAGCAGCCAAAGGCATTTCTGCATTGTCAGGGCTTTTAGTGATCATGGATGATTGTCCTACGAACACTAAAATTGTACGCTGATTACCTGTTCTAAACAGCAGGAGCAGCAACATCTCAATGGTCTATTGATTACCACGGCGCTATTTGAAAGTAAGGTCATCCTGACATCGTCATTCATCTGGCAGACCATTCATCATGAATTTGAATCGTGCGGGCTAGAACATTATTGTGTGAGCAGTGAAGTAAGGCGCAATTGTGGGGGCATCTTAATCCACTTAGTTTTTGGGAAGCTTATGGGTCATCTCTCCGTATGAATTTCTGCACACGCAAGACAAAGTGACATCATAAATTATTGCCATGCCAAGATCTTCACATCCATCACTGGTACTTGTCTGCATCGTTTCCGAACTTTCGGTCTGTGGGAATCCCTTTGGGGAGTGATAAATTGTTGACACGTTTCTGTTTCCTAACCTATTACAATTACATTATGAAGTACTGATCCTTCGCTACCATCGGAGTTGTTGGTTGTCTCTACTGCCAGTAGTTGTTGTTGTGATAAACAAATACGATAGCACTGGGGAAAAGGATTTGACAGTTGGAAATTTTACGATGACGGTGTTATTGGTCAAGTGAGAAGTAGTATTGAAGTAGTATTTGAGTGGTTTATTTTATTTTCATTAGGTGGATAAAGATGAAGGAAATTTAGAGGTTGATTCAGAGACGATGAAGTAAAGAGACAAAGAGGATGAGAGGAACCGTTCGTTCTGCACCTTTGTCCGAAGAACGCTCGATAGGGGTGCAACAGGTCTAAGGGAATGAATGTTGTTTCAGTATCAAAACAAACTCCGGTCAGTGTTTGTTTTACGTGTAGGTGAAACTCGAGAATGATTAGTTAGCGGTGGGTCGAGTATCACCGCAAATTCTCTGCTCATCTTCCAAACAAACGGATTCCAACGCGTTTCCGGTTTTCCCTCCTCTCTTCTTCCTCACTGTTTACCTGTTTCCTGCGTTAGAGGACTGGTAGTGAAGAACATAAATAAATGGTTTAAAGATAAGAATAAACAAACAAGTGGATAAGTGTTTGAATTTAGAAGAAATTTGACAAATAACTTGAACATATGAATGTAAAGGAAGGGTTGCTTGGTGTTGGATAATGTCGGTAGTGGTTCACTTGAATTAAATTCGAATGGGTGATTGGTGGGAAGAAGTATAATGGAGAAGCTACGGCCGTCTCAAATTGTTCTCTTCAGTGTTTTTGTCGCTGATCAATAAATCAGCGATTGACTGAAGAGTAAGGAATGGGAGAGGAAAGTGCTCGGAGACTGTTACTGTAACGGGAAATGGAGTGCTCTGTTACGATCCTGATTTTGTGCATCCTTTCACGGGGAATTTGTGCAGTAATTCTATTCTACTTATAAATCGTCCTAAGGTTACCAACCAAGAATGTTCAGTCTAACTGAATCAGTTATCCTTATATGCTTGTAATTTACATTTGTCAGACAGGACATTAATCGAGTATATTTTTATCAGGGGAAGCGTGGCGATGAGAACAAAAGAACAAGGGGAAGTGTTTAGAATGATCGGGAGCAGTCCTGATTTAAAAAAAATGAAATAGCTTTGAATTAACTTAGAGTAGCTTTCAAAAACTGATTAGAAACGAATCCATCATAGAAGCAAACAAGCAAAACATGAGTACAGCATTGATCTAACCAAGCACTTTCCTTCGTCGTACTGCCATTTATGATCTATCAATGATCCTCCGCAAAAATTGTGGGGAAAACACGAAAATTGAAATTCACATGTCGTGTAAATAGTTCAAAATAGAAAAAAACAAGGGCTCTTTAACTCTACCACCCGCACCATTTCCATGTACTACGATTTCAATTGAGAGCAAAGATATGTGGGGACAACATTCCAATGAACCAACATGTCTCTCCTATCTATCCTATCGTATTCTATTCTATCCTATCCTATTCTACCCTATCCTATTCTATCCTATCCTATTCTATCCTATCCTATTCTATCCTATCCTATTCTACCCTATCCTATTCTATCCTATCCTATTCTATCCTATCCTATTCTCTCCTATCCTATTCTATTCCATTCTATTCTGTTTTATCCTATCCTGTCCCATCTACTCAATCCTATTCTATTCTATCCATTCTATTTTATTCTAACTATCCCATCCAGTCTATTTAGATGGTGATTCACCATCTGTTGTGTTTATGTCTCTCTAATATCATTTAAAGAGGTACATGATGACATTCTCGCCTTAAGCATATCTTCAATGCTAATTCATAGTAGAAGTTGAGCAAGTAATGCGACCTTCCATTCTCTTTGTTTGCAGAAGGAACGAAGTACGAAGTTGAAGTACGTTGCTCAGTGGAATAGATGACGGGAAAGGTTAAGTCAAAGGCTGGATAGTTCGAGTATGGAATGTGCACGAACCAAAAAAACAAATGCGTCAAGGAAATTTATCCTTTTAAATTGCAAGATTCAAATTCAAAAAATAGAACTTACTTATTCCTGCAATTCTTATTGCTGCATAACTTCTTCTCTTCACAATGAAAATGAAAAAAAAAAGTAGAAGGAAGGAGCCATCACGTCGGAATATCGTTATCTATTTTTATCTAAACGTTATCTAATTTTTTTGTCGCAATTCTTCGTCAGATCCTCATAATCAATACATTTCTCTCTTCTCTCTTCTAGGGTTTTTTTCCCACTGACAGCATATCTGAAATCACAGGTCAACCGTGTATTTTACATTTCGGGAGTTTTGCTGAAAATTGCAAGTGCGGTGTTTGCTTTTTGAATAATGCAGTTGTTTAACAGCATTTCAGCTCTACCTAATAGTGACACTGAATTTAATCTGAGATACCGCCAATCACGTTAGTCCTTGTCTACCACTTCATCTGAAACTGCCTTTGAATCAGAAATAGTGATTTTTGTTATTTCATTGCTTAGGTGCCCAGTCCAACCAAATTAGTGTGCTGAAATTTTAAATAGCAGTTGCTATTACAAGTCAAAAAATGCAGCTGTTTCAACACTCCATCCGTTGATTATTTAGCAATAATTCAAATTTCTAAATGTTGACAAATTTTTATAAATTGTTCGAGAAAATTTTTTAAGACAGAAAATGGAGAGATACGTGTCTTAAAGAAATTTTTTCACTTTATTTAAGTCGACCTATGATTGATTTCGTAAGAAGTGAATGAAAGCAAATTATCATTTTGTTATGATTCGAAGAGCATAGAAAATACCAGCAATTTGAAATGTTCGATACCTGAAAGACGAATACACTTTTTCAGTTGCTGCAACAAAAAGCACCGAATTTCTCTACCACTTTAAAATTTCTTCAACAATATTTCATATCTCCAGTTATCAACTGAACATTTTGAAATAATTCCCAAAAAAAGCTGATTCCAAACTATTTTCTGTATATATATTAAAGCAATATTTGAGGATAATTCATAGAGTATTTCCCAACAAATTATCATTAAAATATATATTATTCCTTAGTTATTTTACGTTTCATGCAAATTGCAAAGTGCAGAAGTGCAAGTCTGTAGAGCAATTCTAAAGTGATTTAAAGATCATGGAAAGACAAGAGAACATACAATGCGACATGCTGCAAATATCAGACATAAACTTTTAATAGATTTTCATGATCTTTCCATGATCTTTAAGTCACTTCATACTGATCTTTTGTTGATGTGACAAGGAAGAAACCTTGCACAATGGCAATTATCGCACAATTAATTGAATTGAAGTGTCACAAGCTTTTAATTGCAAAATTGAAAGCTAACTCAAACTTGCACGAATCAGCTACTATTCAAATCTAAGATGGCATAGTTTGTTGATTGTTAAGACGAACTATAATTATTGCGAAATAAAGAGATTGCCTTCACGTATGACAGATGCAATCAGTGAATATTCGAAATAACGGCCAACCAGTGTCCGCTAGTTAAATCGCAGAAAATATCGAATGTCTCTTGGAAATTTTCGGCCTGAATATTACGTGGACATTAGGATAATCTATTTTTGGTGGATTATAAGATGTGCTTCCAAAAGGGCTAGAAAATGTGTCGCAAATCGTTGTTGAAACGAGTCCAACAATATCTTCTATATAACAATACTTTTCCCTTTTTGAGTGTTTGGTAGTTAATTGCCATTTTACACCTTTTTTCTCTTAGTATAAAACTGATTGCAAGATAATATGCTTAAAGACGGTGCTGTTGTTTACTGTACCTGATGAATCTATTAAGATACAGAGATGGAATGCAGCTGGAAGGTTACACTGACATAACATGAAGAAAGACCGTGGGAATCGATGAATTTGCATTTCTTCACACTACCAGACTTTGAAATACGTAACTGCTAATAAAACATTATTAGAATCTTCTTCCATATTTTGTGCTTTCTCAAGTTTGTTTATCTTTTTAGTCCCTCACCTTGAAAACGAAGTCACACTTTTCCTTACTGTGCAAGTTTACGTCTCCGAAATAATCTAAATTTCTTAATGGAAATTTGTGAAAATGTCATGAAAAAGTACTCTGAAACGAGAATTAGCAAGCAGTGCTGAGAGAGATTTCGGAAACAGCAAGTAACGGATAGAAATGAATGATTGAGAGATTATTAGGCTATTGGTCATTAAGGACGGATAATTACTGAGCGATGTGGGAAGTCAACATGGCCTGTAGGAGTGAAGAAAGGAGAGGTTGCATTAGTAATCATCATATTTGGGAATGCAAGTAATATCACTCGATTTGATATTATCAGCGACAGAAATATTTATTGTCAGTAAGGATGTAACGATGACCTTGCATGTCCTTTGCTTTTTACCTCTTTTACCACCTCATCTCTCAGTTTCAGTCTCTTAGCCTTATGTGCACTTTTCGAATTTCATCTTCCTTTCTCCGCAATAAGTGAAGCTTATAATCTCACTCAAAAATCTCCATTATAAATTTATGCTCGTTACCTTGAGGTTGATGTTGTCACTTCGCACCAAATTGCTTACCAGATATGGCCAAGGCTAACGATGAAAATTGGTGTGTGAATGGAACTTGGTAGCGATAGCATGAAGGGTGAAACTTTGAAAGTGAACTTCTAAACTTTAACGGAAGATAAAATACCAATTCTTTAGTAGAATGAGTACTTTAATTTTGAAAAAGGCCAAATTATGTTTGAAAGCATTATATCATTTATCACAAACAATGAAAAGAAAGGTATAGACGAGTCCTTTTCCGATATTTCCATTCTTTCTCATTCAACCGCAATGTAGTTTCTGTTCTCGAAGCCAAACATTGAAAGAATAAATTTTCAGAATTTGAAAAAAGGTGAAATAGATTTTTCTTGGGAGAACAACAAATGACAGTAATGCATGAACCATCTCAAAAACAGCAAAACATAATTCTGCGGTGGGTTTGAATGATTAATGTTTTTAGGGACAACTATTCGGTTTTCTATCAAATTTTCACGATCCACATATGACTAAGCCATTCCCTTAATAGAATTACGTGATACGTTGTTGCTCATGGAAGATATGAGTACTGAAGGCGCTTTTTTAATATAACAGAAATCACTCCTCTTATCCATTGGTAAGAGAAGCCAGTCCAAAGTCAGGGGACGTTATCGACGATGTTTCCTGCGCTTCCTTCGTATCTCCTTTCATTTTCCCGGTGATAAATCGTATAATGTTAATATTTGATGATTTTACTGGTCTATCTTAGATACATCACATTAATCATACGAAAGGTCAATGTTGTGTCAGAGAATGTCAATTAGAATGAAAACCTTTTAGTTAATAAATGAATTACTCCCCATAATAATCTCTCTCTCCATTCTCTCTTCTGGTCTTTAAAAATTGTGGATTGAAATTGAAGAAGAATCAAAAGAATACTCATAAAAAATAGGATGGTTGCGGAAAGAGACAACACATCTGCCTCGTTTCATATAATTGCAGGTGGCTGTACCCTGCTGTCATTAGCTGATCATATGAAATCGTTATGGAAACAAAATATTACCATCGAAGACAAAAATAGCTTTCCAAATAATAATACATGCTCGTCCACTCTTGTGAACATTGCTTGCTCTTCTTGCAAACTGCAGATACCACGATTAAAATTTGCCGTTCCTAAATGTCCTACGGTGTTGTACTATCTCCGCAGAATGTTATCTCTTGTCTTCTACTCTTTGTTCACCAAGATAGCCGAATTGTTGACCAAATAAGATTTATACTACAACTGTCAACGTACAGCTTACTTCGGTAATAAGGAGTCTCAATGCTACCCCTCCAACAGATTTAACAATACAGTATCATGTGGCACATATATTTCATATATAACGCTTAATATCGCTATCAAACACATCATGCCAAATTAGATCAGGTGATAAAACACAAAGTATGACTTTTCTATGAGGCACCAAGCCACTGCTATCTGACAATGAATTACGAGCCATTTTGTTGTACTTCAACAAAAACAACTGAACTCTCTCATTAAGTATCTTCCTTCATTGAGTCATCAGTATGCGTCAGAATTATCGCTTCTGGCTATGTCATTGAACGAAAACTTCCCATATTAAATCTAAAAGTTTCAAATGCTCATTTAAGCTTCCGAAAGTTTATAGTTTTGAAGAATCGATTTGAGGAACTAAAATTTGGAACGGGACAGAAGGCATCCAACGGTGGTGAATCGAATGACAACTTGGCGCTTTATTATAACTATCACGAAAACAGAATTCAGTTATCAGAAAAAAACGGAAAACGAATTCTTCGAGTTTCTTTGAAATTAAGTTTCAAATTAAGAATAGCCTACTAAATTTTTTAACCTGAAATACGTAAACCATTTCGTAAGACATGTAATGTAAGCTATTTGATGGACACGTTAACATGTGATGCAATTTATCTATTCATTAATCAATGAATACACTTATAGTACATAAGAAGTCAGGAAAGAGAAGTGGGTAACGTTTTGTAGCTATAAGCACAATTAGTTGACACAAGCCTTAACAGTTTCTGGACAGCGTCCATCAACTGACAATCCGTTTCATCCTGCTGTAATGACTTGAATCTGGTTAGTTTGTCTTCTGCTTTTGCGAAGCTCAATTCATCAGTTTCTGTCAAGCTCCACAAAAAGTCAGTTAGCGCTTTTTGCTGAAATGAGTCAAAATAAGATATATGAATTCACGAATGGCTAACAAAAGATACCACTCTCTGTCAGATATGCTTCGCATTTCATATCTATTTTCTGTCAGGCTGCGGTAATGCAAGATGTACAATCTTCTTCAATTTTTTCAAAATCGATCTGTGCTATCTACTTGATGGTATTACGAAGTCCAGATTCTGCATTTGTATTAATGCATATTCACTTCAGTTTCATCTTTATGAAAGTTTGCATTTAATTTGAAGCAATTGAATTCCATAAAAGATGTAAGTGGTCAATAAATAAACTGAGAAAACAAGGCTGCAAAGGATGATTGATAGCGAGATGAATTCACTTTTGCACTTTAGATCATTATGATTTACTTTTTAAAACATCAGACCACTATTTATCTGGGGATTTAATTCTAATGGTAATAAAAAGTGAATTCTACCTGCACAATTTTCCGTTTCAGCGCGTCGATGATGCTTACTTGGGCCGCAAACTGTTCTTCAAGTTGTTCGCTGTACTCACGAATTTGCTCTAATTCTATCATTGTATCATCATTTCTTTCTTCGCTTTTTGATTCCAATTTAGTCACACGACTTCTTAGCTTTGAAATTTCATCTTCATATTCGTGCGCCGTCTTCAATGCGCACGAAAGGCGATAGCGATATTCTTCAAAACGTCCTTCTAAATCTGTTCTGAAATTAAGGAAAATAGAGAGTCTTTGACTCAATATAGCACGATTGACTCAATTCGTGCTGAAATGTTTCCTCCTGAAACATTAAAAAATGATGCCTAAAATTTGGAGAATTTTCGATCGATCTAGATTGTCACTAATATATATTACAGGATTTGAAGGAGACCTAAATATCCATTACCCATTGATAGTACGAGTAAACCTCTCAATTATATCAGTCTCAATTATAAGTAAGCCTGCATAAGGTATGCACAAAACATAATGACACGCTTAACTTACTTTACTTCAGGTCTTATATTGTCCTTCAATTGCTGTATTTCATCGAGAGCAGTATTATGCTCCATCTGCAACCTAGCGTTTTCCTTCTCCAGCAGTTTCATTTCTTCTTCCTTCTTTGCCAGAATTCCCTTAAAGTCCGTTAAATATTTATATTTCTCATTTCCTCAGAACAATGATCAAACTGTCGGTTACGCAAGCGCCGCTCCATAATTGTCAATAAAATTACCTACCTCGAACTGTTGTAAGGATTCTGTGCACTTTCGTAACTGACAGCATAACTCATTATTTTCATTCATACAACACTGCATCTGAGTTTTCAGCTTAGCGATCCGGCTTAAATGAATGAATGCATCGGTAAGCATAAGCGTAAATATCCTTTTCAGATTGACTACTTATGCAAATTTCATACGCTGGCCTATTATCAAAATGCTCTATGCTTAAATAAAGATCATCAAACCTTTCTTGTTCAGAACCTTTATTGCTCTGCAAAACCAGCTGTTCGTCCTTCTGTTGCAGGAGATACCTCAACTTACCCATTTCTTTGGACATCCGATTCACTTCACCATTTAGCTGAATAAGTTCACTCGAATTTTTTTGAGTAATAATCAATAATAAGATTGAGAAGCTAAAATCGGAAAAATGTTCTTTTAGGAGCACTCAAATGGATTATGAATTTGGCTTCTCTTCTTAATCAGACATATCTAAAACATGTAAAAACCATTTGCTTCTCTGAATCGAGTTCATGTTCGCGCTTACGTAATAGTTCTACTTCAATTTGCATATCCTGAAAACAGTACCACAAGTTATGATTGTTTTTTATTTTTCTGCTGTTTTTTTCTATTGAATAATGGGCTTCCATTCCTAACTAAGTTAGCAGAATTAGTTTCAAAGAATCCTTTTTTGTTGTCGAACAAAAACGAATTTTTTGAAAACAGAAATGTTGAAGGATTCTTTTTCAATCAATTAGCAATGGCGGGTTTTCTTCTTCATTCTGATTCATAAGTGTTGAACTGATGAAACGGTTCCGGTCCCTGCTCAGTGCTCCAATAAAAAAGCTAACATCCTTCTTCTTTTGTTTTGAATTTGACTGCTTGACTTGTTCCTCAAGATCCTGTATTTTTGTCGCGCTCTCAGTTTCTTTCAGTGTAAACTGATACATTTTCTGCTCTGTATCTATTTTGATATTCAGCAATTGCTTAAATAAAATTTTGGCAGATGCAAATGAGAATAGTATTAAATCGCGAGAATGAAATAAATTGTTGCTTAATTGCAAATATTTTATCCAAAAGTCGCCAAAAATTGGAGTGAAATAATTTGAGAAGATGATCAAGAAATTTCAACAAATAAAGTTTAAAAAGGCTGTTAGGACCTACGTCTTCCAAATGTTCGATGTAGGTGAGTATTTGTTGGACGAGCTCTCTCTGTTTCATATTCAACGATGCAGATCGACGCAGATTGATCAATTCGCATTTCCGATTACAAACTTCTCCAAAATCCTGCGAAAAAACGAAAGTGTTGGTTGTATTGCCAAGCAAACAAATATCTATCTTCTTGTTACTTCGAATCAATTTTTTGCTAAAATCTCACTGATAAAGGTGGCATTTGACTAAGAAACGTGCACTCATCTTCTTCACTGATCCATGAATCAGTCATCGTATCCTTGCTTGCCGACTCTTTCAGTGTTTGTCGTTCCTAAATAAAGCTTAATAAAGGATCTCTTCAGTAGAATAATAACGGCGGACTCTTACATCATTCCTTTTCTCAGATTAATTAAACATGCCTATTCAAAATGAAAAACGTGTCTGAGATTGGAAAAATTAAGAACCAAAAAATGGAATAAGTTAATAGTAATAACGGATTAGCTGTTGTCATCGATCGTTCTAATGGACAATATAAATGAGCTAGAAAAAGGTCAAATGTAAAGATTAAGACAAGAAATTTGTGGTCTCGAATTGTGCTTTTTAAATTGGGAATGAATCATGCATTTTTCCATATTGCGAAAATTGCGTACTTGTTGTCAGGTAGCAACAACTTGCTGTAAATATTGAGATTTTGGAATATTTGATTTTAACTATAAAAGAATGAAAAAAAACTCTAAAATCTCAATTTTTTGAATCTTTAGATAACAATAATTCTCATTGTATTGATATCATATCTATTGATGCTGGCTAGATTGGACCACTCTTCAGAATCATCTGAAAAAGCATCATGATGCTGATTGACTATTAGTGTATTCCGTATATTCTAACCCCTATTCATATTCCTCTACGTACCGGCTACAGTTATCCACTATTATCATCCACGAGGTAATCAAGTGGCCAGACAAGATTTAGCAGATAACACAATTGATACGTCGATATAAGTTAATAGAAAATATCAATGAACAAAATATGCACTTAAAAGTTGTAAATGAGAAAGTCGGTTTTGGAAAGGAAACTGAAATTATCTCAAATTCACACCTCAAATTCATGCTCCATGTTTTCTTTATTTTCTAGAATCTGAAATTCCAATAATTCGTTCATTTCCTTGGATTCGATCAATTCTGCTTCCATGCTTTCCATTTTAGAGCGCTGTTCCACGATCTGATCCTGTAGTCTAGCGATACTATCCAACAATTCCATCGTATTTTCCGACTAAACTAATAGTCACTTATAGGTATTAATTGTATCCACATGACATCTTGAACATTTTGTTTCATAAGTGATGCGATTTAGCATTAAAAAATAGATTTACATACCTGGAACAATAAAATTGCTGACTTCTTAAGTAATATTAGGTGAATTTGAAGTCTCATTCTAAACAAATGTTTATACTCATGACCTTTGGACTTTTACAGTACTCTCGTACATACATTTATGCGTAATCTTGAGATTAGAAAACTTGAATCGAAACTCAATTTTACCAGCACATTAGAAAATCAGGAACCTAATAGTGTATCATAAAAGATAAACATCTTAGGACCATTATTTCAGAATGTCCTACCCATCATTCAGCTCTCACCAATTTTTGTTAGTTTCAGGTAAAAAGTGTTATTAAATAATAAATACAACATGAATAACAACACTTTCATGGCATCAATTTTCGGAATTTAGCTGAATTCATCGAGTATGTGGTAGCCACAGTTATTACAAAGAGCAAGACGGTAAAATAAGACAGATGATTTTTATATTATTTTATCTGTTTTTGATTGCTTACTTTTGAAGGCAGGTAAAACTAATAGATTTCAGTGCCCTCGTTCATTCAATAACTTTTTTGTGGAATGTGAACAATAACGAGGAGATTGCAGTGATGTGCTGATCATGAATTCCTCCTCAGTAAAATGAAACTGTACTAAATTATGCAAATAAATGTTCATGACGAATAAGGAGCAAGTAAATTGTAAATACGAGATGTAATTTAGGCTGTTTGAGGAAGGGAGATTTAAGTTGAATTGAATAGTTCCCTTAAGAAGAGCGCTTATAATTTATTCACAGCAAAGTGCCGTCATTCAATGTAATACCTCCTTTTGATGGTACCATGTACGAAGTGAACTTCTTAAATCAGACTTACAATGTTAGCCATCAAATCATTATGTTTAGAGAACATTAACAGATAACTTTCATTTAAAATCACATTTTAATTAGCGACAACAAATAATTTAGATGGTTTACTTGAAATTGTTGTTGCTCGATAACAATCTGTTGTTGAGCAATTGTTGTTTGGGCGCAAATTAGCTGATGCCTTAAAAGCTGATCATCTTCAAGCCCATATTCACCCGTTTTCAATGCTGATAATGTCCGTCGAAGCTGTTCACCTTCGTGAGCGATTTGTTGGTAACCGTTTTCAATATCTTTATCAAGTGCCTGTAATTTGGGATGAGAGTGTAAATAAATTAAATCTAAACTAAAAAGTGTCAATATTTTTAAGTGTCTTCTATCTTAACTTTATTTGGCATAACGGAATGCCGCCGTCATATTTTCGACACCATCGATTTTAAGTTGATTTGAATGATATCATGAAAGAACTGTTTTTAAAATGACAACAATCCAAAGACTTCTAAGGTTAAAAAAAAATTATTTTTAAGATTAAATACCTCGTTCAAGTCTTCTGTGATGGTGTTTAGTGAGATAGAACTTTCAGCAGAACAATCAGATCCACCAAAAGAAGACTGCCTATCCTCCTCAGTTTCACCATTTTTTCGAGAAGATATGCATTTTCTCAGTCTTTTGAATTTTTGAACTAACAAATCATAGCGGCGATCCTTCTCCTGAAGTTTGCAGAAAAAAAAGAGATAGAGCGACTCTCCGATACCATCATTATTTCCCATCATTACAATTTATAACTAATTTCAATCTTATTCCTGCAAATTCTCATTTGACTCATTTCGGCTGCTATTGTATAACATATATCAGTCAGCAGGAAGTGAAGGAAAATGTTTCTGATACGAAAAGACTTACCAAACCTGCTTGCCTCAGTGCAGTGATACACTTGGAATACTCTAGTACTTGATTTCTATACCTGTCTAATTCTTCCAGTTTTTCAGGAAAAGCCCTTCTTTCCTTTAGGTTCTGATTGTCTTTTACCAATCTTTCATAGTCATCCTTCTAAAATTCATTTTAGAAATTGGAGGAAGAACGGAAATGAGTCACAACACTTGGAGTACACACTCACTGTTAGTGAAACTAACCAACGTCAGAAAATCATCCTGCGAATGGCACAACTTTTGCTCGCAGTTCTTCATTTCATTTTGAAGTATGCGATTTCGTTCAGTTAACCGACGATTTTGTTCGATCAGAGGTCGTTGGATTCGTTCCATTTCAACAATTTTTTTGTTCTATAACTGAATTTATTTATCAATTCATCGTCTGAAACAAACGGTTGCTATAAGTAATGATCTGTAATAACTTTAGGTAAAAAAAAATAAAAATACAGATCAAATAGAAATAGGAAAATAGTTAAAAGAAAACTTACCAATTCAGCTTTGATTTGATTCATTTCGGAATTGACGATTTCGGCATCGGCTAAGCGTTTCGACGTATCATCCAATTTCTGCTGCCAACGTATACGATCTCTTTCATAATCCTCCTTGCTCATCTATTTTATAATTATGGTAACAATATGTGGATAATATTAAGTAATCAAGCTAAAGGTGTGATGATCAGCGGATAACACATACTTGTCCTTTAAGAGGTGACATTTCAACACATCTTACCACCATCCGCTATGCAAAAGAATACTCTTTAACCAGCTAGTCACTAATTTCACTAACCGATCTTTAGGAGATCTTTAGAAAATAGGAGATCCTGATTTTGAAATATTACGTATAGATTAATTGAGAAAATTTTAATGTAATTAAGATTCAAATGTTATGCAGCAGTTTAATTTAATAAGGAACATTTGCTTTAAAAGCAATAAAGGGGAAAGAGAGAAAAGGGAAAGATCTATTTTCGCATCCTTTGAAATCAGAGTAAGCCTGTACACATTCAAATGAATTCTGAAATTGATGAACTTCTCACGATGATTTGATTACTAACTGTTAGCTAAATGATGTCTTTGAACATTATTCATTAGCCAACCATTTAATGAATCATTGCAATAGAAAAACAAGCTGAGCTGGTGATTAGTAATGCTTCTGGTAGTACTGTAGACCAAAAACTCTAGGAGACTAAAAGTAAACCTCAGTGGTAGGTTGACAAGACAACCGGTAATGATCTGCTAAGTGAATTATTTCTTGGAGTCAATGAAATGTAAATGGAGTTACTGTTACTACATGTGATTTATAGATGGACGAGTTGCCAATGAATGATTTCCATCCTACATTGTATTCAAAACTTGGGATTTCGTTTCTAGCAAAAATGTCTCTGCTGCTTCACAATGTTGGCTGGGTTTTGTAGAAGTTGAACTGGCAGCTCGAAACGAATCGACAAGACACCGCTGATGCTATTTGCTCTCACCTGTTATTTTTTGAAGAGAGAAGAGTGGTGACATGCTGATCATATGACTGCGTGTAAACCGCTATAAGGCGAGCTTGAAAATAAGAAATTGAGAATAGATATGGGAAGTAATTTATGTCTTTTAGGTGGTGCTGATAGCACTGCAGGAAGTGCAGTTAGGAGGATTTGCAATACGCATTATTCAAAAAAAGGAAGGCAATGTGGAAAAGATGAAAACTTCCTCTTTTCCTACTGAATCATTTTTAGGGTGGGAAATGACGAAGAATGGAAGATATATAGTTAAAAGAAGTGTTAAAAGAAGGATAACATATGTTCAGAGGAGAAGAAAATATAGCAAAAAGAAATAACTGCGTGGCGTTCAGTTCTGTTTGTTGTGCCTCTGTTGAAACTGCGCTTTATTATTCTAAACTCTAATTGCTCCCATACAAATGATAAACACTTGTTACCGGACATCCTAACAAGTGTTACGGGACATCCACACTTGTTACCAGACATCCTAACAAGTCTAATGCCAATGAAATTATGCAAGCAACGCGTGCACGCTTACTCCTACTTCTCCAGATTTTCGGCTTATGATTACGCCAACACTTTCTCATTCCATTCCAGCAAACGTTCCTACGGGATTCGCAAGCAATAATTTCAATTTTTCACTTGAAACGTTAACTTTGTTTCCGTCAACAATTCTTTTCACCTACTTCCCGCATCATTGGTCTTGGATGCGAAATTCGAGTGTTCAAGCGATCAGGAAAAATAGAAACGACGTTGAAGTCCTAATAAATAGTTCGAATAAGTGGGATTCAAAATGCATCTGAAATACCACTTTTCCCAGGTAAATTACTGAAATGGTTTAACACATAAAATAAGAGTCCAACCAACAGCTGAATTCAGTACAAATTATATGATTGATAAACGATATATAATAATAACTTTCCAACAATCCCACTTACTTAACGCTTTAGTCAATATGACCTAAATTTTAACTAACCATTTGAAAGAATCGAGAATTCGTTTACACAAATCACGATAAAGAGTTCCTAAATTTAACTCTCTGATGACATTCATTATCACTTCCCTCAGTGGATCGCTTTTTTACTTCACAATCGACATCGAATGACAAAATTCATTTCTTTTTTTGCGACGGTTTCAACAGTAGCGCTCTCCCGTGCTGCACTTTTCAGTGCCTGTAGGCATACACATAGCATGACAAATACTACTTCACTACATTGCAAACTTATATGATCTCCAAAAAGCAGCAGTCAATATCACTGATCTCCATCATGAACAAAGGCTTTAGAGTTAGCTCATTCAAAATTAATTTATTCAGCAATATTTTTGGAACGATAGGCGAGATTTCGTGGACCAGTTCATATAGCACCCCTAAGTACCTGATAATACGCATGATTCCGTCCAGAAATGAGACTTTAGCATGATTTTTACATAAGATAGTCACATTTGTCTGTTAGTTAGTCAGTCGGAGTGAATTTGCCCAAAGTGAGAACGAAATAGGAAATAGCATGATTTCAACACAACAAAACAAAATGAAAATAGAACCATTGTTGAACTGCCAAAAACAGAATTCTGTTGTTTTTGTATATTCCTGACAGTATTGTTCTTCGACAATGTTCCATAGCCGCTCGACGAAGGTGAGCTACTTGTCGAAGCCATTTGATGTTCGATGACCTGAAAAGGAAGTTCGAAGACCGAAACTTATATTTCAGAATATGGTTAGCATATGACTGAATTAATGCGCTCCATGTTACTTCTTTTTGCATTTGCTTGGAGTTTAAGCTTGAAATTTAGATTAATTCTAAAGTCTCTTAAATCACTGTAGTCGGCATGAACGAAATCAGTAACAAATGGAAGGAATAGAGATAGATTTTGTGCAATGATGATAATAGCAGAGGTGCGTTACAACGAATATAACAAACTTCAGGTTTCATTGTATCTATTATAATACTCTTGTTAGGATGATCAGACTTCTCAACGTAATCAGTAACGATTCCTCCTTTTCTACCAATAACAAAAGCGATGATCAAAAAAGCAGTGCAAATTGATAACACTGGTCAATATTTTTGTATCAGCATCAAGTCGGATAAGATAAACAGTGAGACATTACAAAAATCTGCTACAGATTATTCGCAATTTTCATCTTGTTATAATTGCGCTTAAAATGGAATAAAAATTTCTGCAAGGAATTAAAAAGATGGCGCAGAGAAGAACGATGCGGTATAAGAAATATGTGCCAGCTCTTGTGAAAAAGAAACACTTTTACACTGTGCTTCGGCGGTTGTACCACATATATAGCCAATTCTTGCGCTAGAACCGGATACTGAAGTACACATGAAATCATCTGGAAAAATAGTTTTCATTGCCCAGACAATAAGTATCTTTTTACTTGGGGAATAACTAGTTTTGCCGAAACAACAATCAGTCCCAGGACAATAATCTCTATTATCATGTTATCCACGCAGAAATAATATATATTTACTTTATTGTTCACTGCATTCATCTATTCCAAGCGAAACCCTGAACTTTTTTCGTAAAATTTCGGGAGATGTGGGAAAAGTTTGTGATGTTGACTGAGCCTCTAGCCTTCTGATGACATGTTCAAAAAGGAAACAAGTGGCTGTAATATCTCTTTTATTAAATAGTTGTAGGAGTCTTTTAAAACTATACAGTATTAACAATACTTTCCTTCAAAACATTACCAAAAGTGATGTCAATCTCGCTGTACTTCACATGCTGCGGATGCCCCATAAAGGAAAATGCAGTTTATGCGAGAAAAGTGAAGGCAGGCATGAAAACGGAAAAAGAAATTGCATGAATCAGAAAATTTTCAGAAGAAACAGTTGTTCATGAAAGTGAGGAAAAAGAAATCACCGTATGGTGAACAACATGGAAAACATTCATTACAGAAATCATGTCAAACGTTTCACCAGTAAGTAGCTCAGTTTTGATACCTGTCTATAATCTCCCATCATATCAAACTTACAACTTTTCAATGATTTGATATGATTTCTTGTTGCAAATGCTTTTTGTAATTTAATAATATAATATAACATTACGTACATTTCTATATTTATTTTGCATATTCTCGTGATGTTTCTAATTTGGAAACAGCAAGAAAACGTACTGGCCCACAAAAAAGTTGATTTTCTGCTCACTGCGAAGAACAGTTGGAAGAAGTTGTGAAATTTAAGTTATAAATGACTCAAGATTAAATGTTGCAGAAATTCGGGAAAGACTGAATGGGAAAATGAAAACTGCTCTAGAAAAGCCCAAAAAGAATTTAGCAATCAGTTTTTTATTGCTGCTGTGTTATTTGAATTGGATTGAACAACAAGATTATTGCTGGTTACGTCGTGTGGGCAAATGATTTAAATTCCGTCATCGTATCAAACACAAATTCTGATCACATTACCGATAACAAATTCGGGTGCATAATCAGGTGGCGATCTACAACTATGTCCTTAATATAAAAATAGTATCAAACACAGAAAATATACAATTTTAAACTGAATTTCAGTGCAATGAGAGCGTGTGTCATCCATCTAGCATGAAAAGAAGATAGTTGGAACTGAATGATCGTTCCGGTTACAGAACTATCAGCTGGATAGCTCTATTGGAATTGACAAAAATGTGATCGATCATTCAATCAACAGGCACTCTGTGAGTCTACAAAATAATTTCACATCATTCAACATTTCATTCAAATAGCTTCTTTGCATATATCAACATTTATTATAGGTAATGGTAAAAACTAATGTTAACAGTGTTGATAAGCCAGTTACAGTATTCAAATATCGCTAAATTCTTAAGGCCAGCATCTCCTTTCCACCATTGAAAACTAAAAGATAGAATGAACTTTAAAAAAGGCTTTTCAAAGTTCACACTTCAGATCTGAATCTTCAAATTGCTTGAAATTTCAACATTTACCTCATCTAAACATTAAAAAATTCAGTTTGCTAACAAAGAACACGCGAATGGCAAAAACTACTGACATATTGACACAGCACTAATATATAACAGGTAACCTACGCTTTCAAGTATTTCGGGTTTCTTAATGAGGACTTTAAATGATAAGAACTAGTAGTGAATATTAATCTGAAATGATTAGTAGAAAAAGGATATGAATCCAGGGATCATGCAAAAACGGTCGATGCTCATTTCATTTTGATATGGATTTGGACGCTTCTTTCCATCAATTCGAAATCTATCAAAGAGAGTCGTTTTAAAAAATTGTCATCTCACCAACTGACCACTCAAGCTCCCACTGTTCCCTTCTTTTCACTAATTCAAGGAGAACATGTATTATAAAAAATGATCAAGAAAAAGAAAATGATGCGTGAAATCTCGAATTTAGACACGGTTGGGTGGAACGAAGGGCAGAAAAGGAGGAGAGGTGACAAAGACCACTTGCTGGTGAGTATCCTTGACCTCATTATAATTTTCATGCTACTACCCAAACGAAGTTTCAAATTAATGCAACACATTTAGAAGTGATCTTATATCAATGCATGAGTAAGAATATTTGTTCATCAATGTATGAAATATAAATTAAATTAAAACAAAGTCAAGTGATGTCATGGATTAAACTATCAACCTAAACTATATTATTTGAGAAACGCTGGAAATATTGTCAGCTCTAATCCATCTACCTATTCATTCCTGCATATTGACATGTTTAGGACCCGCCAAATTCATGATTTGCGCAAAAAACATTTCTAAATTTGATTATCTTCCATAAATTCCTTCGTAATTAACATTGTTTTATTAAGATGGTTGATTGATCAGATAAAGTTATGTGTGCTAATAAAAAGCAGAAAAACTTCGTGCTTCTCTTGCCTTAGTAACAGCACATCAGAGCAATAAGCACAAGTAACAGCGTCAGACGTTGTAGATTATTCATTTTACGTCTCTCACCGCATTACTAGCTACCTAGGAAATAAGTTGAAGTTGCGCCTATCCCATTCTTGTCCATCTCACTACTATCGCTACATTAACTTGATAACCCACCGATGATAAGAAAACTATCCCGTTGATAGAGATTTTGTTCTATCCTACAGATGTATATATATG